AGATACCGTACTGTCCCATTTAAGAAGAACGTGCAGTTGTATTGATATAATAATGATATGCTCGATACATCTGTGACAAATGATACAAGATAATTTTACACGAGCTGACGTTTACGATTCTCTTCTTGATTGGTCGCAGACGCGAACTCGCAATTTTCTGGAAACTCGATACTTGAAAATTTTATGACATTTATCTCTGCCTTAATTATATATATCTCAGGCAATCAACCTTTGAATGTCTTTACTTACAACCGGTTTTGTCGAATTTAACACAGTCACAGAATGCAAAATTTTCTTCCGTTGTCTCTTTCTAATTTCATTTGGAATTTGTCTACAACCCACCCCTGTCTTCAAGCAAACCCCATATATGTTCTCAAATGTCTAGTACACGATTGCTTCAGAGATTCGCATAATAATTCTTGAATATTCACATTTTTGTCTTTACAAAACTTTTTCTTCTCTATCTTTCGGAATTATTTTTAATTTCGAGGATATAATTACGAAACGATTAACTGTGGATCATATTTTGCCTCTGAAACTAGAAATCATACTCATGTTTTATATCTACTATAAAAATTAAAGAAAATAAAAAAGATTTCTTTCACCAACCTGTGATCTGAAAATTGTATGCATTGGACTCACGCCTATGTAGCAAAGTCAACGATTTCAGCGAAATTATTGTGCAATTGATTAATCGAGAGCCTCTAATCGAGTAATTACATCGGTTCCAGGAACACCGTTTCAAAAGATCTTCTGTTTAGTTGAATCGACTGCGAAAATGTAACTACCATGAATCATCGAAACCGCGATTGTATGCATATGCAATGCCACTTTCGAAAGACATGGAGAAAGAGCTAATGAAATGGGTGGAAAGAAATTCAAAAAATCCCATTGCAGCGATGTCCTCGATATTCCTCTTATTAGGTACCTTATTAGGTACGATCATGATAACTTCCAGTTCCTTTCTTTTTCTTTTAAATAACAAGATTTTTTAAATCACTGTTTGATTCTGACAAATAAATTATTATATATTATTATTTATTAATAATAATAAAATTATTGCTATAATTTGTATACTATATATTTATATAATTATATATTGCAATATATAAATTATGATATTGTTATATATTAATCATATAGATATTTGAGGATATCTCAAACATTGGTTATTAAAAAAATTTGGAAAAAAGACAAATTTTGTCAAATATGCAACAATATAACAGGGTAAAACTATTATAATATAGTGTACCGCGATAGCAATAAATAATTTTCTTATATCCTCATCGACCTAGTATTTTTACTATGAAGAATGCTTTGTTCCATGATAGTCGTTAAATACGACATTGTATCATTCTTAGAACATCCCATTTGTGCATTTTTGAGAAAGAAATAATCCACTCGAAAGCCGAGCTTCAGTCACCATTTGATAAAATTTGAAGATCATTTTTTCAAATTTTTTCAAATTTGAAATTAAAGAATTCTATGTATTAATTACTATGCAATTTTTTATTGACTTTTCCAAAAGATATCGTCTGCTTTATGGCAGAAAATCTTTGTATTTCTAATCTTCTATAAAAATCGTAGAGTGAAAAGGCTTTCAAAACGGTTTCAACGATTACAGATGCAATATAGTTATTTCGAAACGCCAATTGACGCTCTTGGTAGGTAAGGTTAGTTTTAGATAAGATGGCGGTTGACGTGGTCAGTGTTTAAAGCGTTAATAATAAAAGAAACAAACGTGTGACCATTAAAGAGAGTTATGTCCATTAAACGTAATATCTGCTATCGAGTAAATACAGATGATAACATTTCCTAGTAATTTAAAATATCGGGCCAGTAATTTTCAACCGTTGCCTCAGCCTTTTGAAAACAACCTGCATCGCACCAAAACTACGACCTTCGATCATCACACACGGTAGGCCTTCTTAATTGTCCATAATGTCATGCGACTTGAAATTTCCATACCTATATATTTAAATCGTGCTCCAGGCCTTATTCTGTTCCATTATCCTGGCGCGATTATTTTGCCATCAGGCAAACTACTCGCGCCACCTATTAATCCTTGCATCCCGCGACAGAATGAGGAACTGTAATCAACCGTAATTATTTTCTCGTAAGCAAATAAAAATCCGGTTATATAGGGATCAACTGTATGGTGCCAAACTTTTCATCGCCGAGAATCATGAAAACGGAACTTAACCGAGTGTCCAAACAGGATTAACTACTCGTGGAAACGAAGCTTTAACGAACACGCTGTGGACACCATTTTCTTTTTCAAATTCACGCAAAATTTTGGTTTAGTAATACCACTGAAGATGAAACTACTTGATTAAAAGGTCATTATAATTTTTTCAATTTTAATTTCAATATTACACGATAGAAATAATAATTTCTATATTCAAAAATATATATTGTACTCCTTTCAAGCAACAGACACTACAGAGATTTTCTCTAGCTCTAATTCTAAGTGACTAATTAACCCTTTCTAACATATCTTTAAGAATTTTGTTGACACGCTCTGTTTCAACTGATTTAAAATATATCTTCTTTAATCAATTTCATTTTTCAAATCTTCCTATGTTAAATTCAATATTTCTATTTTAATCGATATAACAAACTAGTGTTACAAGCTATTTGCAATATCCAAACTAATGGCATCCTAACCTACATACCTAAATACCCTTTACAATGCGATATATTATAAAAATATATAACTACATGAGAAAAATGAAAATTAACCATATCATACTCCTACACCTATATCAAAAATTTTCCTATACCTCATCAAACACATCTCTGAAATTAATTGCTACAGTAATATTCCCAGGGTCGGATTTAAACGGGACACCCTATGTGCATACGAAGCAATCAGAAATTTAATTTCAATAGCTCCTACCGTTCGTCGAACATTTGTCCCGGTAACTTATCAGTGGCGCGAGAGATTTAAAGGAAAGTTTGATCACAGAGGGAGACAAAGTACACTACGTGTACTTGTTATACCGTTGCCTTACGCTCGCTTATGGCGCGTAATGAGGCTCGCGGAGGCAGGCCGTTGTCCGACGCCTTAGAAATTCTTTAATGACTTTATGTCGCGCGTAGCACACGAGCAAACGTTTAACGTTCGTCGCCGCGACCGTGTTCTCGCCTGGTGTCTTTTCACGATCCTGCCGCAGCAGCGCCGCCTCCACGCCACGATCACGGCCGAACGAAAGCCGATCGTCCCGCTGTGGGAACCGGCGCGGGTCTTGCCTTCGAATTGCAAACTCGATCCCGTATCTGTGTCGCGGCCAGTGCTCTTTTTCTCTCTGTAGCCCTTCACTCACGAATTTCGTATTCTATGGACAATTTTCCTTCGGAATTTTCGTTCTCGTCGGGAGCATTCGAAGCTCGAAAGAGGTTATGTTCGGGTTGGAAGATTATTCCACTATTGATTTGTATCGTAAAAAGATATTATTTAATTTGATTTCAAGTCTGAAAGATAAATCGTGCGTGTTGTAAACGAAAAGGAGTTTAATCATGATTTTTATAGTAGTTCCTTTATGGATGAACTTAACGTAAATTAAAATTTTGTAAAAATTGAAATAAAACACGTTATAGTAAGGTTATGATAAATACTAATTCAGGAATTAGTACAAATTTTAAATGGATTATGTTATAAATGATATTTTAAACTTTTGGTGGGTCATTAAGAATTATAGTGACTAAATTGAATTGTGATAAGATTATAAGAAGGAAAGTAAATTATAATAAAATGATAAGAAATTAGATTATAAGATGAGATAAAATTAGATTAGAAGATTAAATTAGAAAAAAAGGTCTCTCTGCACAAATTGAGGAACGTTATGTACTAAATAACTATACTAATGCTATAGAGATAAAAACTATAGGGAGTAATAGAACTAGAAACAGCAATACACGTATAAAACACGTGTATAAAATTTATATTTTAACGATAATTTCAAATCGTTCGAATATAACCAACGCGTTGGGATTATTCAAACAGAACAATCGCGGGTAATAAGCAAATTCCTGTAAGCTACGCACACAAACGAAAGCACGAAGGAGATACAAACGTGGAGAATTTTTATAACCTAGCTTCCATTCGTATTTCAATTTATACCCCTCCCCAACCTTCTTAACTGTAAATAGTTATCGCGCTGCTTAAAGTTGACAGATCACACAAAGGAGTATAATAAGAGACAAGCCGATGACAATTAGTACCAATCAATGCGTATTCCCCTATCAAAAGAGGTAAACACTTGCCAACAATGAGTGTTAATAAAGTGTACGCGAGACTTCAACTCCAATAATGGATAAGCACGTGGGGACGAGATTACAGCTTCTGTTCCCTTACAAATACTATCGAACAGCCCAGGGTAAATAAACTAACACATAGACAACGACGCTCGTCGTGTCAATTAAAATATACGGATAGACTGCGTGGTATACGAACACAATTTTTTCATTGATCCCGTACAGTTGGCAACTCTTCGTAATTCGCTTCAATTGCATTCAATTTGCGTCTAAACATTTTATCGCGCAAATAAAGGGGTGATCACCGACTGGATAACTCTTACTTATTGCTGCCACTTTCGCGTCGTCGAGTACCTCGTGTTGTCATACCGCTAGTCGATTAATTAGTGACGACTCAGACGCGATTATCGACCGAGTCGAAAAGAATCGAGAATCTCACGGTTCATGGACCTCCTGTTACATCTTTATACTTAACATCGGTCAAAAGGGGACTCAAACTCGCGAGATACGTTAATTCCACGTTAGTCGTGATTCTACGCAGAAAACCGAAAGTAACGTAAGAACACAGTCAATAACAGCTCGATAACATTCTTAGATTACCGGCCGGTTTTACCTCCCCGCCGGTTCTTTTCTCAGAAACAAACGTAAACTAATGCCGCATCTCAACGTGCGTCGCTCGCGTCGAACGAACCGGCGTGATCACTACGTATACGTAGAATTCGCGAAAATGTTTATTCCCTTACCTCGCGTATCTTCGTGAACATTGCTCGTTCCCGTTCTTTGATCCAAAGCTTCAGCCCCGCTGTCGCGCCGATTCACCGAGGATAGGCGACGACGAAAGTCGAGAAGACACCTGACATTCCGGGCGAACACACAACGGTGCGCACAACAGACGCGTACTCGTCGATCATCCGATCGCAACTGCAGCCCTTCGAAGCCGGTGCCGGTTCTGTTGCTGTTGGTCGAGAGAAAGAGAGGGAGGGAAGCGACGGCGAAAGACCGAGACGGACGGATGGGGAAAAAAAGGAGAGCGAGAAGGAGGTGTTATCGAGACGGACGAGCCTCCCGCTGTTTCTCCAACCAGCCGCGTTCCGAACTGACGGCCACTATTGTGTATTTCTCGTACCGGCGTATATACACTAAACGCCACGCGAGACGCGACTTTGACAGAGACCAATCTCTTTGCGGACCGTGGGTTGGAAAGAGACATACGACCCGTTCTCACGTGAGCCGATACGAAGATGTATCTTTGTCCGAAAGATTACTGCACGAAGGATCCTACCTTCTCTCCTACTGTCTTTTTTCCTTTTACTTTCGTGGTTTTTGCAGTCCGACTCCCCTTTCTTTTGTACGTCAATCACCGGGGAACGCCACGTGCAAACCGCCAATGCGTACCGGCTCGGCAACCGTGCACTGTAAATACACGCAAAAATGTGCATGCGTGCGAGAGCCGAGTCGTAGCGCGCATGCGTCGCTCACGCACCCACTGCGTGCAGTCCCCCGAGCAAGTACATCGGCCAAACACCCCCACGGCCTGTGTCGCTGCTCTTCAACCCTACGGCAAACCTCCCACCACCACGGCCCACGCGCATTCACGGAGTAAATCCCCTCGACTACGAGGATACCTCCCGGTGAACCCCTTAATCAATACTCGCCGTTCTCTGCCGACCAGGGGTACTATCCTTCGTGTCCTCCTCCCTGGACCAACTTTTGGCATCGTCCACAGCTTTTATCACCCCTGCTTCGCGCTCACGACAAATTCGATTCTTCGTGTTTCCCTTCTTCACGCTCCATGCTTCGGGAAATTTACTCCCCTCCTTTGGATAAATAAAAAATCGACGGCGGGTAAATGTTATAAAATTGATAAATCATTTTCTATCGGTAATTTCATTCTTTATTATTTATAGCATTTTGCAGAAATATATGATGCATCGATTCCTTTTCTTTTTGTGCGTAATTGATTTTTGTAATGGCTTTGTGGTTGGTAATTTCGTGAAAGAATAGAGGGGTAAAAAGTAATGCGAAAGTGGTAGGGGTTAGGGTGGTTACAATTAAACGGTAATGTATTGTGCGTGAAGAAAGCTCCGAGGGTGCGATGGTTCCCCGAGGAATAGCCTCGCGATCCTGCGAATTATTTTATTAGCCACGTTGCATGGCGGAAGAAACCTCTTTTCATTCAGCAGCTGCACTCTTACTCGCACAGATGTATCGTAAAATATTATGGCGTGTTCGAGACTAGAATAGGCGTGCATTGAAAACAGTACTTTCATTACACGATGCAGGATACAGTTAGAATATTTTAACACACGATGTGCATGTTCTCGTTGAGATTTAAACTTACATACCAATATCATCGGTAAGATGATTTATTATTAGAAAAAAATTATTCGAAACAGCGACAAAATAGGTACACACTGGATAAACACCAGATTCTATTTTTTATAATTAGTTGTCAGTTGAAATTTGTATGATTTTGAAAAAAAAAAGGAGCTAATTATAATTTCCTGATTATACAAAGGGCGTCGTAGTCCACGAATTATTAGCCCTTTCTACAGTGAGCGTTAAGTATACTTGGGGGTGAAAAACGTGTCTACAGTGCCGCACCCAAGTATACTCATTTGTGTAGCAGGCGTTTAAAAAAGCCTTCAGCAGCTTGGGGTTCCGCGCGGTTTAGCTCGTTTGTCATTTAGATAATCGATGATAAATCATCGTTTATAGAAAAAAGGCTTTAAAGTGTGGTAATTAAAATGTCGCTTAATTACATAAAAGAAATATAAAAATACTGAAAGCAGACTCTCTCCTTTCACGGTAGAATTATATTTAAGTACAAACAGCGGTTAATATTGAATGGATAAATTATTAATGTTAAATTAAAAGGTTAGAAAATTTTAAGGTTAAATTTAGCCAAGTAATTTCATTGATGAATTTATCAATATGTCTCTGCAGACTTGTGTCACATTTGACGACGACACGAAATTTCATGGTAAGTAATATCATTGTTATCTCATAAGCACCGTTCAACCACTGAAAGAATTACGAAACATGTCACGGTATATTGACATCTTTACCGATTTCGCGTGCAAGTTGTCTGTTTGTTATCTATGTTCCACTTGTCTAGCTCGTTCGTACAACGTTATTTCCAAAGAAATGTTTACTACCTACGAACATTTGAAATGAGTTTTCATATAAAATAATACAGAAGCATGACAGCGGAAAATTAAAGTATCATGGTACATGTATCGTTTTCTAATGAACTACGAATGATAATAAAAGATACTAAAAGATAGATTCGTTTAAAATTGAAACCATGATTTATCGGTACCAGGAACCACCATTGCCGTGTCTAAGACGTCTGTCCTAAGCTCTACCATGCACCGATTATTACAGAGCTTATTGATCATACTTCAAAACAAAGTTATTTTTGACATTCTAACTTCAAGAACCATTTTCACTGTATTCTTGATAAGACAGTTTTACTTGCTCCTTCCTAAATTTAAAATAACGCTTGTTACAAACGTGTGCTACGAATGTAACAACTTTAATAAATTTCTATATAACAAGATTGTACTACATAATACTATTTAACTATATTTTGATATCTGTCAATTTCTCTTTGATTCTACGCAGCACGCCTAAAAATCATGTAACATAGTTATGTGTTAATTTTGTAATGTACAATTTGTTTGAAGCTTTATTTACTACTCTGTAGAGTGCGCACCTAAAAATATAAGGTTATAGTTTCAAAATATTTCAAAGTTTTTAAACATTTGTGTAGAAAATATTATTAGTGTTACTTCGCCCTATTGTTTTTACTTCCTATAAGTCTCTATTTTTATCGCAATATACGACCAATTTATATATCTTAAGGAGGTTAGCCAAGCTCAAATACAGTTAACACGTTAAGTGCCACGCCAGTCCCTAAGGACCGACGTTAGACTTTTCGTTCAGTCTCGGCCAGTCCTCAAGAATCGGCCGCAGACTTTAGGTTCCTATTACATGACCACGTGTATCTGTCCTTGCGCACTGATTGTGAGACTAAATATTTTGCTTAAACGACATCGGTTTTTGTTCAGTCAAGGTTTAAGAAAAAGAATACAATATTTTAAAAAAATTTAATGTAATATATTAAAACAGGATAAACAAAGGTGTGGTTTAGATTTACATTTGTTACAAAAGGTGGTAACTTTTTGTGTTAAATTCTTTGCCATCTTTGGACATAATGTTTGGGAATTCCTGTTATAACAATTGGAACAGTATCTCCGAGTTTTATCAACTTTTCGCTTGCCGCTGGTGGCCCACTTAACGGCCGAGTCTGGGCCTGAACGGAACGGCAAGCAAGACGGGTGGGGCACTCAACGTGTTAATTCATCAGTTTAGGTTATGTTTTAAATAATGATATAAAAATGGCATCAGATATTATTAATAAGATGAATAATATTACCTTGAAAGATAAAGCCGAACGGTATATCACGTGTAGTAAATTTAATAAAATAAATAATTGTATACTCGATATAACTTTATATTTTATATATTTATAGTACATGTGATAATGAAAAAAGAAAAAATTATTTAAATTGGGATGACTATTTTATGGCTGTTGCTTTCTTAAGTGCGAAACGTAGCAAAGATCCTATTACTCAAGTTGGTGCATGTTTAGTGAATGAAGAACAGCAAATTGTAGGTATTGGATATAATGGAATGCCTAAAGGTTGCAATGACAATGAATTTCCTTGGGGCAAGTGTTCTGATGATCCATTAAACACAAAGACTTTTTATGGTAAGTTCATAACAATTCATTCATTTTCAAAATAGTCATATTTAAATTATACAATATAATTTAACATTGTATTGTGACAATGATAGCATCAAATTTGCAGTATGCCATGCAGAAATTAATGCTATTTTAAACAAAAACAGTAGCAGTGTTAAGAATTGTACCCTTTATGTTGTGCTTTTTCCATGTAATGAATGTGCTAAAGTAATAATACAGTCTGGAATAAAGTTAATCAAATACATGTCAGATAAACATGCTATGAAAAAGAAAACTATAGCTGCGAAAAGAATGTTTGATGCAGCAGGTGTAACATACAGGTATTTTAGTTACTTGGATAATATATATTTATTTTTATTAAACTTGTATAAATGTCAGAATGTATGATAAGAGACCATAAGAATTTACTTATATCATTTAACATAATTTGTTTCCTTAATTCTATGTATTGGTTAAAATAAAAATTTCTAGACTTTTGATAATATTTAGTACATATTTTCTAATATGTGCAAAATATATCTCTAAATTATTTTGGCATTAAATCTGTTTATAGTATTGCACTTGTATTATTATCTTTTAAATTTAATAATAATATAAACTTCATATATTAATTATTTTTTTCAGCCAATACATATCAAAAACTAAAAAAATAACAATTGATTTCAATGAAGTAGATGATGACAGTAAAAATAAATGATAAATGTATTTGTAAAAATAATAATAAAAAATAAAAGTAATAATAATGATAATGTCTATAATGAAAAGTTTTGTGGTACTATGTATTCATGATTTATTTTTTTTTTATGACAAGTTCTAGGTTTAAATTTATAACTAATAGTAATTGCTCGGTAACATAAACATGGCTTATGGTTTTACTGGATATTCATTTACTCAAATATCTGGTACCATTATTTACATGTAAAATTGTATTAGGTACAGATGGAAAATAAGGAAACTTCTTATTTGAAATTTTTACAAGTCTAATTATTTTTGGATATAACATTAACCATATAATGTTATGGAAAATAAATAAAACAATGTACAGAAAGTAAAAGAATTTAGCAATAATACAAAGATAATATGCAGTGTCATCAAGGTAATATTGCCTGCAACTGTATTGCAAACTATATACTGTACAAGGGTAAACAGTGATACAATAAAGTATGGCATGGTAAAAATATGTAACAAGTGTCTATCATTTCCTCAAAATGACATCTTAGTATTCTTTACAAAACAATTGAAAGAAGGGCGATTATTGATGCGTGATATAATATTTTCGTGTTGATTCATTATTAATGTAACAACAAACAGAATTTGAACATAGAGTTTGGACATATATGATAATGATAATACGTTTATGTACATACTATACATATCCAAGTTTTTGTCTTTAAAATATTATTTCACTTACGTTTGTAGTCACAACTATAATATAAAAAAAAGTTACATAAAGAAAGTAATTACACGTGGTGATTGAATTCATCATATAGGAAAATATTTAATGTCGCGAAAGTGTGCTGATATTTTCTATATAACTACAGGTATTAATAGTTGTTGAAAAGTATATTTTATAGTCTTGCAATCTTTTGATTGTGCAAATTTAGGCTGTTCCTGCACAAATGTTAAACTTTAAATAGTATTTTAAAGTGTCTGCATAATAATAGTTTATAGCAAATGGCAGTATATTATTGATAGAATAATTAAAGTAATAAATAATTGCAACTTATTTGTGATTAGTATTAATTTGTTCATTTTTTAAATCACTTTAATCATAACAAATTATCTTAAAAATTAATCATACACGTTATAGAATTCTGTTTGAAACCTACATGATGAATTCATTTACATGAGGAGGTGGAAGAGGATGTGGGTTGAGGTACCCATGTTTATCATTTGTCCATATGATTAAATTAAGGATTTAAAGGCAGATCTGAGCTGAACCTTCTAAAAATTGATATACCATCCTTAATCAACATTGTTTATTTCTTAAAGGTTTGATAATTAGTTATGAGCGAAATAGAAATTTTTATATTGAGGTAACAACCTCCGGTAAAGATTGGAGCAACTAATATATATATATACATATATATATGTATATATTATATGTATATATATATATACATATATCTTTCCAAAATGTAATAATTATGCAAAAGTTTAAGCGTAATGTAAATAATGTATTTAAAAAAAAAAACTATTAAAAGATAGCAACGCTTCGGTAGATGCATGGTCGAAAAGTTGATTGTAACGTGAGTGATGTACGAGAATGTGCATTCTTTGTTCTAATACAAATCAGGAAAAATCGTTTATAAGAAAAACCACTTCGTATATCAATAGACTAGTATGGTAATCATGTCATACTTCTTTTCAATTATACAATAATTAAATGACTAATAATAAAATGAACGAGTAAAACATCTACATTATCGCTTATGTTACGATATTATTTATGTAGCCCTGAGAAACATTCCATGCATTTACAGAAGGTGTTAGTTTAAACAATATAATCGTGTTTATCATATTCTGATAGAAGATTATTCCATCGATTAATTTTGCACGTACATAGTGAATTTTTATCCGGCATATGTTACGAGCGAATTGAAATATTAAATATACATTACTATGAATACCACTTGATGCAAATACCTTATTTTTATGATTACCATTAAGTTAACTTTGAGTGAGCTTTCAACATTGGCATAATATTAACTAATCACAAAATTATATTCTATGTCTTAAATAAGATAGGAAATGTGTGTATATATATTTATATATATTGTTAAAGTAATAGCTGAATATGTACAAACATTATCACTAGTTTGTAGTATCTGCATCTTGTTGAATTCTTTTTTCATTTAAAGAAACTCACAACTTATAAGTATGTATTGGTATTTTAAAAAATAAACGAGATAATTATAACATCGTTCGATTTATACCGGTAAATTTGAACATTACCTTTTATTAAAATTTCTGTAAATCGTTGACATACAGATGCATGATATTTTCTTCATTTGTTTGTTTTGCTATTGACACTTATTGTTTTCGATTTATCATATACTTTGGTAATTTGCGTACACAATACGCACTTTTATTGTTCTTATAATAACTTTCACAGAGACTTTCGCAAATGGATACTACTTCCATATTGACTGCTCTCTCGATGGAATATCAGGACTCCAATCCAAACGTAGATTATTACCCTGGCTTTGAATGCAGGAATAAAATCGTGTTTCTAGAAGGAAAACGTTAGATCGTATTCGTTCACTTGACAAGTTTAAACGGTTTTTGCGAATGAAGTGAACTAGAGAAGTTAGTATATGACTTGGAACAAAGTCTATTCTCAAAAAGTAGCGACGAACATGCGTGGTACAATTATCGGTGCTCGATGATCGTCTAAGTTTTTAAACTCTACACAGTAGAGTATTTATATGTAGACATCGCTGAAAATAGTACACCTTAACATCAAGTAGAAATATTCATAGAGCGCACATATGAATGTATACAAGTCTTGTGTTTTGTACCAATATGTTAGTTTACGCACGTCATATATTTTACACACTATACTCCACCCCATCCCTCCCCGTATCCCCAGCCCACCCCAATCTCATCTGTGCACTAAACATTTTCACACTTTATCAATCCTTCCTTTTAACGTGGTCGTTCTATCGATAGAGCGCTCGTTTAATTCATTCTGTTCCAATTGTTAATTAATATTTAGCTAAAGCCATCCTCTTTCGTTCACCTAAAATTCGGGACCGCGTCGGAAGCGCCAGTCTCACGCCCCATCGTGTTATAATTTATTATTAAAGATTGTTTATCCAGCACTGCCCCAGCACTGTTCACACTACATGAAACCTTCCAGGAACAGTTCGTGTATAATACATGTTTAATAATTATCAATATTAAATCCGCCAATTTCGCTTCTTCTTTCACTATGTATGTCCATCATTATCGTTCATATTTGCTTTACATTCAACGTTAGTTTCTTTGCTTTTTTTTTCTTTTTCTTTTTCCTCAACGTAGATCAGAACGTATCTCAGCACATTCCTCCTTCATTGCCTCGTCGTCTAACTACGTAGTGATTTAGTTACGCTGGACAGCGCGTGCCTGGATCAATTTTTGATGGAATTTTCTTTCTCTTGATGTTTGATCGTCACTGTCACCTTCGTTTCCGGGGGTCGAAAAGCGGTCGCGTACGGGAAGTACTTGTGACATTTCGTCATGTAGTCAGCGATTGTCGAGTCACAGTGGCCAAAATCACCATTACGCAACGACTCCAACACCTTTGTACAATTCTGCAGTGTTACACCTTCAAGACCTTCGATATTTGTTACAAGGGAGAGAGCTTTTGTTTGAGCGGATGGGTCCAGGACATATAACATCCTTGCACCTTGGAGCAGATGCGGCAGTGAGTTTAGATTTTGCTTTAGGAATTCAGCGTTCAATTGAATGGCCGTTGAAGTCGAGTAGATTCCTGAAGTTTGCCGTTTCACGACCTCGCTTACTGGTCCGTCCAATGGAGAGCGGTTAATGTGCAACATGAAACGTACTAGACACGTGTGGAGATCTGGATTGTTCGGATCTAGAGAGTGTGCACGTTTTACCGACCTCAACATTAACAACGTACGACCTGCGAAAATTGTTTGATTTTTCAAAAACTACAAAATTATTTCAATTGAATTTTCGAGTGCTATATTTATTAAGGTAGCTGTTAACGTGTTACTGTGCATTAAAATACTCTTATTTGCTATATTACTGCGGGACAGATCAATTTTAATTCCTTGTTAGTTTCTTTATTCATCCTTATAATAAAAATTTAAAGAAGCTTTTTCATCGGACAATTTTATTTTCTTTGAACTATACGTATAACTTTTATCACTGATGTTGCATCAATAATTATATATTACGAATAAAGAATATGTTTTATTTTTACGTACCTTTACGAATGTATATTTCAAATGCCATAAGATGCGTTTCTATTCTGTTCGATGCCAAGTCTTGCAGTGGTTGTAAAAATTTGATTGCCTGCTCTAAAGGATCCTCGACCTGGAAATAATCACTTTGCTTAAGTTACACATTATGTCGAAAATAATTAACTGAACAAATCTACTAACCTTCTCCAGTTTCTCTGGTATAAGTTCATCTAGCATAGGCTGTTCTAAATCAGGATCGGTTTGTTGCCGCGATTTATTATGCTGTTCCCTCTTTTCTTGAGCCTGGGCAGCCTGTTGTCTCTCCAATTCAGCCTTTCTACGTTGTTTCCTTTGCTTGTTCCTCAACTTCTTCAGTTCAGATGGCGCTAGGTTTTCTGTAACAGAAAATAAAAACAGTCAATAACAATAAGTACGATAAAACAAAAAATTTACATATATATCGTCATTGAACCTAAAGAAGTCTTCTTTAACGACTTTTTAATTCAAAAAAGAAAAAAGAAAATGCAATTGCATTGACTGTATCAGATATAAGTTTGCTAACTCGAGCATCTTAAAATTGCTTATAGTTACAGAACAAAAATTCCCTAGACGAAAAATTGCGTCGCACTTCGACGACTAACCTCTTATTTAAGAAATAAGTTTGCTGTATGCCGTTAAACACGAGATGTCTGCAAATTCCATTGTGATAAGTCGACAATTCAGAACGTGCGATTATTCGACTCCTATTACGAATTTACGAGTCACCTTGTACCTTTATTCAGCA